GTTCTCTGGGCTCCTGCAGCCTCCCCTCGGCTCTAACGGATGCTAGGGTTCCCCTGGGCTTCCTCCACGGACTCCATCTTAACATTTGCAGGCTCCCCCATAGCAATCTCAGGGGACTGTGGCAACTTGAGGCGTCACTTGCACTACACAGGAACGAAGAGCACTTTAGGAATGCGGAAGCTCCATTAATTTTTCACATTATTCACTATTTACTATTTATTAACTAGTATTTACTATTAGGAGGTGCCCACAGTTAGATAGACAGAACTGCAAAAATCCTAAATGTCAGAGCACAGTTTGCTACCATTTTGTCAAGTTACCCAAGACCTCTGCTGAGCTAATCTGCTCCAAGTCATTCTCTCTTCCCTGGCTTCTCTGGCTCCTCTTGGGGCTGCTTTTCTCTGGTCTCTCAGGTGAGGGGATTTTCTTCCTCTCAGATCATATCATGCATGCAGTAATCAGCAAGCCTGGTGCCTGATGGTCACAGGTGAAAAGAGTATCTTCCCTAAGTGTTCATGTAGGGAAGCAGCAATCACATTCTCTTGATGCTGTCACCGACATAGGACAATGATCTGGGAAAATCAGGCTTAGTTTTTAATATATAAAGGAATTTTGGGGAAATGCTCTTTTACATAAAGTCTGAACTTCTTAGGGATATTGACAAAGCCCTATTTTGAGTGTTGTTTTCTTTATATTTTCTCTATATCATTCTCCCAGCTGGTCATGGTGGCACACACCTGTAATCCCAGCGCTCAGAAGCCGAGGCAGGAGTGCCATGAGTTTGAGGCCAGCCCGGCCTACTTAGTGAGACCCTGTCTCAAAAATCCAAAAGAAAAAAAAAACATTAAGCATCTCACTCCCTTCACCCCGAGTTTTTGTTGTTGTTGTTTTTGTTTTTCTACTATCAAGAAATTCTACAGCAGTTAGTGAGAACTCTCACATGGAGATTCCCTCTGGGTGCTGTCACCAGTGCAGGGAACCATTTTTGGCAATTTCTAGAATAAGAGGGAAATAGAAGGTTGATAAATACATGAAAGGCAGGAAGTGGATATCAATGTCCCCTTTAGTGACAGGGATTGTAGAAGAATCCATGAGCCATCTGTCCTGTTTTTATTATTGAAGCTTACATAGGTCATGGAAAATGCATATGGGTAATTTAGTTTGGTCCTGAAACACCATTTGGAACATAATATCTTGGAAAAGTGTGCTTGTAAATTGACTTACAAACAAGCTTTTCAGATATAACCTTGCAAAAGACTGAATTGTGTCTCCTTAAAATTTATTTGTTGAAGCTAAAATCCTTAATGTGACTGTATTTAATAGGCTTTGAGGAAGTAATTAAAATTAAATGAGGCCATAAAGGCAGAGTCCTAGTCCAATAGAATAGGTGACCTTCTAAGAAGAACCCAGACTTAATCCAAGGCTGTTTGAGGACAGAGCAGAAAGGTGGCTGCCAGTCAAGGAGGGAGCCACTCCTAGGGGCCATAGCAGCTACCACTTTGGTCTTGGCCTTCCCCACCTGCAAAACTGTGAGAAATAAACTTCTGCTGTAGAAGCCACCCAGCCTAAGATAGTTTGTTATGATATCCTGAAATGAGTAAAATAAACCTGTTCATAAATTTAGAGTTCAATGTAATTACCCTTTTGTAATCAGTTATATCCACAAAATTTTACTATCATTACTATTTACCTATGAACTAAATGTCACTTGCATGTAGGTTGAAGACATACTTTCATAAATGTTCCTTATGTTTAAATATAAGTAAATAAATAAATAGATAAATCCTAAGGAGAATTTGTTTGAAGATTAGTCTAATCTTTGAAGACAGATTAAAATTTCAAGTATCTATTCAACATCTATTTCCCCAGCATTGCTTGAAAACAACAGTCATACTTTTATTATAAATCACCCACATACCACAACTCAGCGTAGGTACTCAACAGAATTGAAACAAAACTATCCTGATTAGTGGATTATATACCAAAGTTAGTGGTACAGACATGGAATTATTTCTACTAGAATATTTCCAGGAAGATAGAAAAGTGTTAACAGGCAAGTGGATACCACAAAAAGGTACTTGTGGCTACCTAACTCCATTAATGTTATGACTAAAGAGATATCGTTCTTAGCTGCTAGAATGTTTACAATTTTGGAAAGAAATTTTCTGCTGCCTTAAGAAATAGGGAAAGAAAGCCGACAGTGTATTCCAAAGTTAATTGGGAAGTATATGTGGTTTTTAAGTCACACAATAAGGCTTTTAGAATTTATTGGTTTGTTTTGTGTTTTCTTGCTTTCTCAATAATTTAAAACTGATTAGTTAAGGCTTTTCTATGGCACTAGTATGTATATAAAGGTATAAACAACTCATTAAATGTTATATAACACAATGTAAACTTAGGGTTTTAATTTCAACTTATACAACCAAATTACTCAAAGATATATCCATATGAAACTTAAATAACTGCTTATATTGGTAGAGTGAAAGAAATAAATAACATTTTGATTTAGAGGGAAAATGGTGAGGTTCTGGTGTCCATTTGAGTGATTCCTTCATTTCTGAGTAGGCAGGGTTGACTGCAGGTGTGACCATGACACGGGCCGAGTGTTCTTAGGGAGCACCGGTTTCTTACGGATTGCACTCCCACCGATAATGTGTCAGGCTCAGAGCCCTGTGTGATTGTTTAGAACCCGTGGAGCAGCCTCTGGGAGCCAAAATGTACTGCTCAGTAGATGCTTCTTAGCCCTCCACTCTGTGCCAGGCATTATAAAATGGTGTAGTCATAAGGGAAATAGAAACAAACTTTGCTTATTACTTATTCATTTAATCCTGATCAGAGTCATACACTGATGGTGATTTTAAAACCTGGCATTTTCATAGGCAAGGGAACAAAGGTACAGAAATGTTGACTATTTAGTTTTTCAGGGTCACTCAGGTTTAATGATTATATTAATCAGGTTTCTCATCGCCCAGACACAATACTGGACACTGAAAAATTTTAAAGGAGTGGAGCTTTAATATCACTCACAGCTTTGGAGGGTTTCGACCATGGGAAGGTGGCAACAAGGTATAAATGGCACAGTGGAGGGGTGTGGTGGGGGACAGCTGCTCCATCTCATGGCAACCAGGATACAAAGAGAAAAGGGAGGAGCCAGGGACAAGAATCCACCCTTTCATGTCAGAACTGGGTCCCACCTCCAACCAGGTTCCACCTCCTAACAGCACATTCAGCTATAAACTCATCAGTGGATTAATCCACTGAAGAGTACAGCAGCCCCATGATCCAGTCACCTTCTAAAATCCCCACCTCTGAACACATGAGACTTTTGTTTATTTTTTTGTTTTTTTCGTTTGTTTGTTTGTTTTTCTTTTTGGTACTGGGGATCAAACTCGGGTCCTTCTGCTTGCAAGGCAGGTGCCAGAACCACTGAGCTAAATCCCCAGCTCAACACATGAGACTTTTGGAGGACATCTTAGATCTAAATCATAATAATGGTGAAATCATGATTTTACACCTAACAGACTAATTTCAGAAACTTTTCTCTTCATTACTGCACAATTGTTCAGAGGATCTTTTTTTAACTTTTTTTTTTTTGAGTTGGAATCTATCCTGCCTGGGGTGATTTTAAACTCCTGAGCTCTAGGAATCCTCCCACCTCAGACTCCTGAGTTCTGGGATTACAGGCGTGTGCCACCAGTTCGGAGTATTTTAATTATCTATTTACTTATGTATTTATGTGTCTGTGAAATTATGTATTTTTCTTTTATTATTTATTTATTCCTTGTTCTTGACACCATTTAAGTTGAAAAGAACATTTGAGAAAGAAAAAGCATGTGAAAATACTTAGGAGACTGCTTTATGAATATGTGTAAGTGTTATTTATTGCATTTGTCCCCTGTGATTAATCTTCTTAAATTTAGTTCTCATTTTTTAATAAAAGCTTTGCTTTATGTGAGATTTTGTCCCTTAGGTCTGTTTGGGAAGGCTTGATATTTGCAGTGACAAACATATTATTCCATGTTCTAGTGCTTCAAGGGATTTATGTGATTTAGCAATGCCCACCATCTAATCTTGTTTTTTTTAAATCATGAAATACATTGTCCATAAAATATGCAACATGTATGGTAATTCTAACCACTGCCCTTAGACTTTTCATGCCCTTAATATATATGCTTTCTCACAATGTGCATGAAAAAGAGTAAACAGCGTTAATAATGGAGCACCCAGAATACTGACACATGCTTTGCTTCACAATAATGCTCACTAGTACAGAAGCAACTATTTATTTTACTATCCACTTTTAATTAAGCCAGTTGCACTGAGACCAGCTGAAAAACTGTAGTAAATGTTAGAAACTTAAGCTTTGCCTTTGAAAGTCAGATTGCCCCTTGCCGTTGACTGTTGTGAATGTTCCAAGTGTGGGGACCACACACCCCTTCCTTTCTGTTGGAGAATATGGAGCTGCGGTTGGTTGCTACTTCCTTTTCATGACAGCTACTACTACCTGCCCAGAAATTGTCTTTGGCTCCCTGTAAACCTGAAATCAGAAAGGTATTTGAATTTTCCCCCTCTAGCACTTGCAAATCCGATTTTTATGTATAACTAAGTGCTCTTAGTTTTTACTCTATCTACTACTGGGGCCTGGGTTGTAGCAGGCCTGTAACTAAGCCAGATCCGGCCTATGTAATGCTGTTTGTAATGAGAAATCTAAACAGGGAATGGCAGTGAGGCATGGCAGGAATGTGTTTCCATTGGAGAAGTTGGTGTAGAGAAAAAGTATAAGCAAAGCCATGTCCAGGAGGCCTTTTCAGCTAGCCAGGACGGAAGACTAATGTTATTGTACATAGGCTGTTACCCTGCCAGACCTTCCTCACTGATCTGCTTTTTCTCTTTCTTCCTTCCCCCCTAACTCCCCTTCCTCTCCCTCCCTCCTTTATTTTTTCATTCTCTTTCATTTTCTTTTTCTCTCCTTCTTCGGACTCTGCTGACTGTTTGCTCAGGTGGACAGTGACACCATTTGGAATGAGCTGCACTCGTCCGGTGCTGCACGCACGGCTGTTGGCTGTGTCATCGAGCTGGCTTCCAGAGTGGCCTCAGGAGAGCTGAAGGTGAGGTCTGGGTTGCATTAAGTGTGGGAAATCCAGACAAGAAGCTGAAAGAGAGATGTTGTTGTTTGGGAGCTGTGGGGAGTGTGGTTCAGTAATAAAAGAAGGGAGGCCGAGGGAAGAGCGCAGGGAGATGGCCATGAGGGGTGATAATAACCCCTCTGTAGGTAGGTAGTGGTTGATCCTACTCATGGGCCTTCCTCTCCTTGAGAATATTCCACAATCAGGGCACACTGGTCTGTTTCAAAGAGCATAGAAATGGTGAGTAAAGCTGTGCTCTAGAATAAAAACACCCTTAGTATATACATATCTATCACACCATCCTGGGATTGTCTTCTGAAGAGATTTTTAAGATATGATTGCTGAGTAGTATGGATAAGCTCTGAATACCACCCAGAGAGAGGAGGGGGAGAAAGGCAAATACCAGACGGGAAGGATTGGGAGGAAGAAGGAAATTGTTGATTAGGAGGGTAATGATCCAGAGTATGTTTTTCCATGAAAGAACTTCAGAAATGAGCCATGCTTTATTGTTCTTTTCTCTTTATGGTGTCTTCTTTTCTACATCATATGAAAAGAACAATGTCTAACCCCCAAAGTTTCCCAGTCTAAACAATTTATAAAAGCCAGAGACCTGACAGACGTTGACATTTTATTTGGTATTTTAACAGTGCTATTTAAAGGTATGCCATGTGTGTCTTGAATGCAGTTACCCCAATAAACTTTGTTGGTGCTAACACGGCTTTTTAATGCACTAGTTCACACACTTCATAATGCAATCTGGATGGTGATTGATCTGGTATTTTTAGCAATTGTGGGGCTTAAGGGAAATATATTATGACCAACAACACATGTACTGTGAGTTTTGTTAATGTAAGATAAAATCTAATTAGGATTATTTTTCTTTAGGTCTAATGAATTTTTATTCAATTATACTTGCCTCTTCCACTTCTGATTAAAGGGGTCGGGATGCACATGCTATGATGCATCATTTGTCTCAGAAGTAAAAATCTACTGAAATGAAATGTTGATGAAGTGGGCTACATGAAAACAATAGGAGTGCTTATGTACATTGGACATAATTGGTGTTGGGACATTAATTGCTCATCTCAGGGGACTGATGGAGACCTTTAGTGTGGTGCTTAGCTTTCATTCTTTACCTTTGTTAATAAGAAATTTAAAAAGTAAAGGAAAAGCAGCCTTATGGACAGATTTGGACTGTCTCCATGTGGCATTTTAGGAATAATTCTTCCTCTTTGAGTAATGCTATGTAATACAATAAGTTGATATTTTATAAGAAGAATATTTGATGACTCTATTTTTAAAAGAATTCAAATGGCCAAACCACAATATTATAAATTTTAAGATTATACTGGCATAACCCCACTTGATATCAAAGAGAATTATTATGTTAGCGTTTGTATTTTCTAATTGTTTTCAGTTTTAGAAGTTTAAGCCATAATTCAAAAACCTTCTCAAGTAGAATGCCCACATAATATTTATACTTAACAAAATCATCGTTATTATTAGCTTCACTGTGTGCTGAATTGGCAAATTTAGTATGAAGTGAACTGAGCAAAGATCTAATTCTATATTTAGCATTTAACAATTTAAAATGGCCAGTTACAAACAAAGTGTCAACAAAATATAGTATGGACATGCTGAACACCAGCTGTACTAACATTGGCTATTTATGTTAAGAACAAAGATTCATACTAATGTTTTTTCTTTCCCTGGTAAAAGAATCAGTAGGCACTTTTGAAAATGATAAAAATAAAAAGATGGGGCGGGATTTAGCTCAGTGGCACCATGCCTGCCTCACAAGCACAAGGTCATGAGTTCTATCCCCAGTACACCACACTCCCTGCCCCCCCCCCGAAAAAAAGAGATAAAGAATAGAGAAAAAGAGCCAGCCTAAGAATCAAGAAGTCTTGGTCTAGGCACCACCACTTAAAAACTGTGTCATTTGTGGCTTCTCAAGTGAAATTGATAATGTTGAAAGTTGTCCAAGGCACTGAGCTATTTACAAATGATAAGTAGATCTGAGTCTCAATTATGCACACTAAGGCACACCAAGTAGTATATTCTCCAAAACCAAGTTTAGCTTGCTTTGGTGAATATTCCATGTTTTTGAGTTGGTCTATCTTTCTGATTGTCAAGATCAAATTAAAAATTCAAGACAGGCAGGGCCATAACAAAGACACTGCTGCCATGCTGACAAGTCAGTCCCAAACTCCTGGTTCTGGATAATTTGGGTTGGCATACAGTGAAGCCATGTGGAAATGGTGAAAGTCAGAAATGATTTGGAACCCACAGTGAAGAACATACATAACAGGTAGAATGCCGTTCTTAGAAACCGATAGTCAACTCATGAAGTTACTCAATGCCTACCTGTCCCAGATGCCATTGCTACAGGGCTACTATACATACTGGTCAAGGCCATTGTTATTCATGGTTTGTGGCTTCACTTCATTCAGATCTAAGGAAATAGGGAAGCTTATTTGCAGACAATGGTAAGTAATCCTCTGGTAAAAATTTTTTTTAAAATGTAGCTTTTGTTTTTTCATTCTCTCCATTTACATTCGGTTCTCACATGTTCTACCCTATTCTCCCAGTAATCAATGCTTTAATAAAATAACACTGCATATTATAATACTGGTTCTTTTGAACCAACACTAATTTTTCTTGGAAAATAGAGTAGAATTAAGAGCTTTATTTCAAATAGGCTGGCCTGGGTGGAAAGCTATACTAAAGATGAGTGATAGCTGGAGAGAGATCACTGAACTCATGAAGGATGAGAACTTAGAGATTAGAAATGTGCATAAGAAAAGGAAAAAGCCAAAGACAAAAATGTGATCATCTGGAACTTTTCCTTGGTCATGACCACTCTTCTGTCTGGTTCTGTCTTTCTTCTCCTGGAAATACTGATAAACTGAAGGAATTAGCAGAATGAGGCAGGAAATGGGGCTGGGTTTCATGTTGACACTCAAATAGAATGTGTGCCACAGACTATAGCAATACATCAGTTTGTTTCTGGCAAAGAATCGAAATGTTGTATAGACTTCATTTTTAATTATGAGTACTTTCAAGATGTCCAAGCTTTTAACAGGATACTAAACTACACACACACACACACACACACACACACACACACACACACACACACAGTAATTCCTCAAATTGACACATACCCAAATTGGCTATTTTTCAGATTCTTGTACCAAGTAAGACATAGGCTCTGAAAATGCTGAAATTTTTGATGTATTCAGAGTAACTCTCAAAATAACTTTTTCTTTTGTAGGGAATTTTAGAAAGTATATATAGGACACAGAAGTATCTCTAAGAGGTGAAAACTTTTTCACCTTCTAAAAAATGTTTCGGTACTTATCAAGATTTACTATTAAAGTTCACTTTGATGCTATTTTGAAAATGTTACCATCTTCACAAAGAAGTTGAAATTATTTTAGCTGTCTGCACATTTTTGCCAAACAACAAAACCCCACAACACCTGGTTTTATGAATGATGGGTAAATTTCCTTAATGCTTGAGTGGATATGATGATGTCTTGTTGCCAATAATAGCTGCTCATAATTGAGTACCTAGGTTATACCTAGCCTTCCATTATTGCTACAATGTACCCTTGAAACAACTACCACAAGCAGAATATTGGCTCAAACTCATCAAGCACTTTTAGGATTTGGCACATAGATTAATAAATGAAAAGGTGTATAAATCTCATAATCCTGCTTTCTTTCAACTACTCTGTCAGAACTTTTTTGTTCAGGTAGCACAAATATATGTAAGAAGAAATGGTTAAAAGCATCTATTTTAATTTATCTATATCCTCTCTTATTGTTATGAAATACTCAAAGCATTCTGAAAGACAATAAGTTACTTCTTAACTAATAAAGCATTATAACAAAACAAATACCCATGAACCCTTCATTCAAGTTAAGAAACAGAACTTTGATGACACTATTAATGTTCTCTCAGTACTTACCTCATATCTGTCTTTCTGAACCGGGGTAGCCGTTAATCTACTGTATTTAAAGAAACCATTTCTTTCCTTTTTCTTTAATGGTTTTAGATGGGGTTTTTTTGACCTTTGTAAAAATAGAATCTTATTGAATGTATTCTCTTTTGATTTTCTTCTTTCTTCCCTTAAAATTATGTTACGAGGATTTGTCCATATGGATATTTGCCTATGATTCATTTGTTTTCATTGCTATAAAGTCTTCCCTTGTACACTGTAATTTGTTTATTCATTTTGATCATTTTAGCTGTTTCCAGCACTTTGCCCTTTGAACAGTGCTGCGTGAACACTCTTGAACATGCCTCTCTTTTACTATGGCATAACTAAAACAATCATTTCCTCGGCTAGCCACATAATAAATTTGAGTAGATAATGCCAAGTGGAATTCCAGAGTGATTTTGCCACAATGACATCAGCAGAAATGTCAGTTTAAACCTCTGAAAATTCTTTCCCCCACGAAAGCAATGATAAAACTGGCAAAATTTGTCAGGGTCAATTTTCTTAAAACTCTAGAAATTAACAAAAGTCTTGCAACAACTCAGGAAGCACGTTTTAAAAAGCAAACTGACTGAATCTTAATAAGAAGAGTGAGATTTGTGGTGTTTTAAACCACTCTATTTCCATCTTTCTCTTCCCAGGACCACGGTAGCCTTAACAAATTGCAGCCTGCATTCTCAGTGAAAACCAGGAACTTGGAAGTCTCCAGACAGGCATTATAGGGTTGGAGTTTCTTCAAAGCCTCGTTCCCAGAGAATTGTCATTATTTGGCCTGTAGAGTGCTTCCATGCAAGGCTCACTTGCCAGTCTGGCTTTGTTTGACCTTATGTAGAGTCACACAGCAGGAAAGCTTTTTTTTCTCCAAAAAAATTTTGTTGAAAAAAATTAAAGCCCATTGATAAATTTTGCCTGAGGTGGTGGGTAATAGTAAGGAAAACAATAGGCAACTAAAAAAAAAAAAGTTTCAGTGGAAAAA